GGTGGATCCATCCTGTCTTGTATCCATGGTTCAGGCTGGTGGTGGTGGTGTCATGGTGTGGTGGATCCATCCTGCCTTGTATCAATGGTTCAGGCTGGTGGTGGTGGTGTCATGGTGTGGTGGATCCATCTTGCCTTGTATCCATGGTTCAGGCTGGTGGTGGTGCCATAGTAATGTGGTGGATCCATCCTGCCTTGTATCAATGGTTCAGGCTGGTGGTGATGGTGGTGTCATGGTGTGGTGGATCCATCCTGTCTTGTGTCAGTGGTTCAGGCTGGTGGTGGTGGTGTCATGGTGTGGTGGACCCATCCTGCCTTGTATCAATGGTTCATGCTGGTGGTGTCATGGTGTGGTGGATCCATCCTGCCTTGTATCAATGGTTCAGGCTGGTGGTGGTGATGTCATGGTGTGGGGGATCCATCCTGCCTTGTATCAGTAGTTCAGGCTGGTGGTGTCATGGTGTGGGGGAGCTTTTCTTGGCATGCTTTGGGCCCCTTAGTACCAATTTAACATCGTTTACACACCGTGGCCTACTTGAGTATTGTTGCTGACCATGTCCACCCCTCTATGACTCCAGTGTCCCCATCTTCTGATGGCTCCTCCCAGCAGGATAATGCTCCATGTCACAAAGCTCCAATCATCTCCAACTGGTTTCTGGAACATGATGATGTCACTGGACTCCAATGGCCTCCACAGTCACCAGATCTCCATCCAACAGAGCACCTTTGGGATGTGGAGGAACGGGAGATTCCCATCATGGATGTGCAGCCAACAAATCTGCAGCAACTGCGTGACACCATCATGTCACTATGGAGGAAAATCTCTGAGGAACGTTTCCAACACCTTGTTGGATCTATGCCATGAAGAATGGAGGCAAAAGGGGGTCCAACCCGGGACTAGCTGTCAAGGTCCTACCTTTCTTCAGAGCTTGTGCATCTCCATGTGCTGGCCTCCATCTTGGTTTTCTGCAAAGCATGGTGGGAACCTTTATGCCTTCAGGCTTCTGCGGCTCCTCCTCAGAAGGGTGTGGTTGAGCACATTTAAACCTGCTGTCTGCAAGTGTGCTCTGCACTTGTGTCCTGTATGTTGCCTTGTTGCAAGCTCTTGTGTTGTTCCCATTGCTCTCCTGGTAACCGACTCGGCTTGGACAAGACTACTCTCTGCGTTAACCCTTTACCTGACCTCCCGTTGTTGAACCCGGCCCGTGACCTGAGTATTCTTTGCCTACCGTCTAGTACTGTCTGCTCCGTTGTTATTGACCCGGCTTGTCTGACTACTCTACTCGTGATCCCATCTAGCTCCCACCAGCTGTACGCCATTGGCGGCAGTCGTTATCGCAGCTGGGGTCACTCGGGGGCCGCGACCTGGTCTCAGGCTGCGTCAAGTCCATCCCCACCATCAGGGGCCCTGTTGAAGGGTAGCCTGGGGCTTAGACTCCGCGCCCTGAGGGACTCTGGTCTGTGGGTAGTGGCTGTCGTCCGTCGCAGCGTGACCGTACCATAGGCCTGCCTGCCCATTCCAGCGTTCCTGCCCTGACACTAGCAAGGTGGACTTCATTAAGTCCAGCATGTATTGGGTGGTTCGGGGTCCCGCGTGTCTTGTGTGTGTGTTGGGTGGTGCAGGATCCCGCGTGTGTTGGGTGGTGCGGCAACCCGCGTGTCTTCTCCATGTGTTGGGTGGTGCGGGATCCCGCGTGTCTTGTCCGTGTGTTGGGTGGTTCGGGATCCCGCGTGTCTTCTCCATGTGTTGGGTGGTGCGGGATCCCGCGTGTCTTGTCCGTGTGTTGGGTGGTTCGGGATCCCGCGTGTCTTGTCCATGTGTTAGGTCTTGCAGGATCCCGCGTGTCTTCTCCATGTGTTGGGTGGTGCGGGATCCCGCGTGTCTTGTCCGTGTGTGGGGTGGTTCGGGATCCCACGTGTCTTGTCCGTGTGTTAGGTGGTGCAGGATCCCGCGTGTCTTCTCCATGTGTTGGGTGGTACGGGATCCCGCGTGTCTTGTCTCCGTGTGTTAGGTGGTGCAGGATCCCGCGTGTCTTGTCCGTGTGTTAGGTGGTGCAGGATCCTGCGTGTCTTCTCCATGTGTTGGGTGGTGCGGGATCCCGCGTGTCTTGTTCGTGTGTTGGGTGGTTCGGGATCCCACGTGTCTTGTCCGTGTGTTAGGTGGTGCAGGATCCCGCGTGTCTTCTCCATGTGTTGGGTGGTGCGGGATCCCCTGTGTCTCTTCCATGTGTTGGGTGGTGCGGGATCCCGCGTGTGTTGGGTGGTTCGGGATCCCGCGTGTCTTGTCCATGTGTTAGGTGGTGCGGGATCCCGCGTGTCTTCTCCATGTGTTGGGTGGTGCGGGATCCCGCGTGTCTTCTCCATGTGTTGGGTGGTGCGGGATCCCGCGTGTCTTCTCCATGTGTTGGGTGGTGCGGGATCCCGCGTGTCTTCTCCATGTGTTGGGTGGTGCGGGATCCCGCGTGTCTTCTCCATGTGTTGGGTGGTGCGGGATCCCGCGTGTGTTGGGTGGTGCGGGATCCCGCGTGTCTTCTCCGTGTGTTGGGTGGTGCAGGATCCCGCGTGTGCTGGGTGGTGCGGGATCCCGCGTGTCTTGCGGTGGCGAGGCATCTAACTTCCCATTTCTCCGGCGGGATTCTCCTAGAGGCCACATCAACAAGGAGGGGGGGGAGGGGGCGTCCATACAGGCCGGCTGTGGTCACCCTTTTAGAAGCAGGCCAGGGTCAGTGGAAGGACAAGGGGCGGGCAGGTGGGGGGCGGTAATTATTTTGAGGTTTTTAGCGCACAGATCCGTTTCCCCGCAGAGGAGATGAATTAATAATGCCGCCGAGACTTCCAGCCAAATGCTGCCACCTAGAAGGGACCTGCTGGTGCCGCTGATATCAACCCTTTACATGGCGCCGAGCGCAGAAATGCGAAGTCGCGGCGAGATCGCAGCCTAGAGGATGGAAATCCGGGACCGGCCGCCATTATCCTGCCTCCTGGAGGGGACTTTGTGGGGCCAAATCTACACCCTGAATGTGAACGGATGGAAAGGCGATCTGTCCGGAGCGACAAAATCCAACGAATAACGACACCGAATACAGGAACCGAACCCACTCCAGAGACTCTGCCTAGGCCGAGATGATGTCATCAGGAGGGAGAATCCCCTCCCCCAGCGATCAGACTGTACATTGTAACTTTGTAGAAGGAGGAGGAGGAATTTCCTCAGTCTCCCCTCCCCCAGTGATCAGACTGTTCATTGTAACATTGTAGAAGGAGGAGGAGTCATTTTCTCAGTCTCCCCCCCCCCCCCCCCCCCCCACCCGGGGATCAGACTGTACATTGTAACTTTGTAGAAGGAGGAGGAGTCATTTCCTCAGTCTCCTCCCCCAGTGATCAGACTGTACATTGTAACTTTGTAGAAGGAGGAGGAGTCATTTTCTCAGTCTTCCCTCCCCCAGTGATCAGACTGTTCATTGTAACTTTGTAGAAGGAGGAGGAGTCATTTCCTCAGTCTCTCCTCCCCCAGTGATCAGACTGTTCATTGTAACTTTGTAGAAGGAGGAGGAGTCATTTCCTCAGTCTCCCCTCCCCAGTGATCAGACTGTACATTGTAACTTTGTAGAAGGAGGAGGAGTCATTTTCTCAGTCTTCCCCCCCCCCACCCGGGGATCAGACTGTACATTGTAACTTTGTAGAAGGAGGAGGAGTCATTTCCTCAGTCTCCTCCCCCAGTGATCAGACTGTACATTGTAACTTTGTAGAAGGAGGAGGAGTCATTTCCTCAGTCTCTCCTCCCCCAGTGATCAGACTGTTCATTGTAACTTTGTAGAAGGAGGAGGAGTCATTTCCTCAGTCTCCCCTCCCCCAGTGATCAGACTGTACATTGTAACTTTGTAGAAGGAGGAGGAGTCATTTTCTCAGTCTTCCCCCCCCCCACTCGGGGATCAGACTGTACATTGTAACTTTGTAGAAGGAGGAGGAGTCATTTCCTCAGTCTCCTCCCCCAGTGATCACACTTTCTGTTCAGACACAATAAATGTATAACTTTTTTCTTTCATTTGGATGGATTCTGCAATTTGTGTCACATTTTGGGGATTTCCGTTCACTTCTTGTCCCAACGGAAACAGGAAGTGGGGGGGAATCCCTGCAAGCTAAGCAAATTGCTTGGAGCCCCCCCCCCTCCCCCCCAGGTCACCAGAACCCGTGTCCCCATTGGATGATTTCCCCTCTATTCCTGCTCTGCTGACAACCCGAAATTTGTGATTTTGTTTTTGATGGTAAACAGGACAAACCGAGACGGTGAATCTCCCTACCAGGGGTGCAGACAGCAGTGACAACGGACAGGGGTCCTAATCCACCCCCACCCATAACTATAGAAAGTCCAATGAATGAAGGGGGCGGGGCCAGGGACAGTCATGCTGGGGGGGGGAGCTAGATGATGCTGGACGTCCTCCAGCTAGGAAATAAGACAGAAATTTATCTGACTCCCAGTGTGCAGTGACACCTGTGCAAGACTGGAGGGGAGGAGCCGGTACACCTGTGCAAGACTGGAGGGGAGGAGCCGGTACACCTGTGCAAGACTGGAGGGGAGGAGCCGGTACACCTGTGCAAGACTGGAGGGGAGGAGCCGGTACACCTGTGCAAGACTGGAGGGGAGGAGCCGGTACACCTGTGCAAGACTGGAGGGGAGGAGCCGGTACACCTGTGCAAGACTGGAGGGGAGGAGCCGGTACACCTGTGCAAGACTGGAGGGGAGGAGCCGGTACACCTGTGCAAGACTGGAGGGGAGGAGCCGGTACACCTGTGCAAGACTGGAGGGGAGGAGCCGGTACACCTGTGCAAGACTGGAGGGGAGGAGCCGGTACACCTGTGCAAGACTGGAGGGGAGGAGCCGGTACACCTGTGCAAGACTGGAGGGGAGGAGCCGATACACCTGTGCAAGACTGGAGGGGAGGAGCCAGTACACCTGTGCAAGACTGAAGGGGAGGAGCCCGTACACCTGTGCAGGACTGAAGGGGAGGAGCCGGTACACCTGTGCAGGACTGAAGGGGAGGAGCCATTACGCCTGTGCAAGACTGAAGGGGAGGAGCCTGTACGCCTGTGCAAGACTGAAGGGGAGGAGCCTGTACGCCTGTGCAGGACTGAAGGGGAGGAGCCTGTACGCCTGTGCAGGAATGGAGGGGAGGAGCCGGTACACCTGTGCAGGAATGGAGGGGAGGAGCCGGTACACCTGTGCAGGAATGGAGGGGAGGAGCCGCTACACCTGTGCAGGAATGGAGGGGAGGAGCCGCTACACCTGTGCAGGAATGGAGGGGAGGAGCCATTACACCTGTGCAGGACTGGAGGGGAGGAGCCGGTACACCTGTGCAGGACTGGAGGGGAGGAGCCGATACACCTGTGCAAGAATGGAGGGGAGGAGCCGGTACACCTGTGCAGGAATGGAGGGGAGGAGCCGGTACAACTGTGCAGGAATGGAGGGGAGGAGCCATTACACCTGTGCAGGAATGGAGGGGAGGAGACGGTACACCTGTGCAGGAATGGAGGGGAGGAGACGGTACACCTGTGCAGGACTGGAGGGGAGGAGCCGGCACACCTGTGCAGGAATGGAGGGGAGGAGCCGGTACACCTGTGCAGGAATGGAGGGGAGGAGCCGGTACACCTGTGCAGGAATGGAGGGGAGGAGCCGGTACACCTGTGCAGGAATGGAGGGGAGGAGCCGGTACACCTGTGCAGGAATGGAGGGGAGGAGCCGGTACACCTGTGCAGGAATGGAGGGGAGGAGCCGGTACACCTGTGCAGGAATGGAGGGGAGGAGCCGGTACACCTGTGCAGGAATGGAGGGGAGGAGCCGGTTCACCTGTGCAGGAATGGAGGGGAGGAGCCATTACACCTATGCAGTAATGGAGGGGAGGAGCCGGTACACCTGTGCAGGAATGGAGGGGAGGAGCCGGTACACCTGTGCAGGAATGGAGGGGAGATTCGATGTATATCTGGACGATGGATATCACATGTTGGGAGAAGAAAACATTTCAGCATATTTGTGACTCAGAAAACAGGAAGTGTTGGGAAGAAACATGTGGCGGTGTGAATGGTGGGGGAGGGATGTCATCCTCGGGGTGGGGGAGGGGAGCTCACTTCCTCCTCCAACCTCTGAAAGTCTCATCCACGTTGGTCAGCTGATCACAATTTGCTCTCCCAGGGACTCTGCGGCGCTGAGCTGGCGTATCTGAGCGCCAATCGTCCTGCTTCCATATTGGAAATATTAACCCCTTTGGCGCCAGTGCCTCCTGACCCTTTTTTAGGTGCTCGGAGGCGGGGTTTGTGATCATGTGACCATTGTGATTGACTGTCGCAGCGCTCACATGATCAGAAAGCTCCTGATTCCAATCTGCGATCGGTTACATGATCAGAAAGTTGGGAGGTTTCTATTGGGCGCGTGACTGGTGGGCGTGTACTTGATGTATACAACCTCTCCGCCTTGAGGCCCGCCCACCAACGGGACGCATATATACGACCTCTCCGCCTTGAGGCCCGCCCACCAACGGGACGCATATATACGACCTTGAGGCCCGCCCACCAACGGGATGCATATATACGACCTCTCCGCTTGAGGCCCGCCCACCAACGGGACGCATATATGCGACCTCTCCGCCTTGAGGCCCGCCCACCAACGGGACGCATATATACGACCTCTCCGCCTTGAGGGCCGCCCACCAACGTGACGCATATATACGACCTCTCCGCCTTGAGGCCCGCCCACCAACAGGACGCATATATACGACCTCTCCGCCTTGAGGGCCGCCCACCAACGTGACGCATATATACGACCTCTCCGCCTTGAGGCCCGCCCACCAACGGGACGCATATATGCGACCTCTCCGCCTTGAGGCCCGCCCACCAACGGGACGCATATATACGACCTCTCCGCCTTGAGCCCCGCCCACCACTGGATACATATATACGACCTCTCCGCCTTGAGGCCCGCCCACCAACGGGACGCATATATACGACCTCTCCGCCTTGAGGCCCGCCCACAACGGGACGCATATATGCGACCTCTCCGCCTTGAGGCCCGCTCACCAACGGGACGCATATATACGACCTCTCCGCCTTGAGGCCCGCCCACCAACGGGACGCATATATACGACCTCTCCGCCTTGAGGCCCGCCCACCAACGGGACGCATATATATACGACCTCTCCGCCTTGAGGCCCGCCCTCCAGCGGGACGCATATATGCGACCTTGAGGCCCGCCCACCAACGGGATGCATATATGCGACCTCTCCGCCTTGAGGCCCGCCCACCAACGGGACGCATATATGTGACCTCTCCGCCTTGAGGCCCGCCCACCAATGGGACGCATATATACGACCTCTCCGCCTTGAGGCCCGCCCACCAACGGGGCGCATATATACGACCTCTCCGCCTTGAGGCCCGCCCACCAACGGGACGCATATATACGACCTCCCCGCTTGTGGCCCGCCCACCAACGGGATACATATATACGACCTCTCCGCCTTGAGGCCCGCCCACCAACGGGACGCATATATACGACCTCTCCGCCTTGAGGCCCGCCCACCAACGGGACGCATATATACGACCTCTCCGCCTTGAGGCCCGCCCTCCAGCGGGACGCATATATGCGACCTTGAGGCCCGCCCACCAACGGGACACATATATGCGACCTTGAGGCCCGCCCACCAACGGGATGCATATATGCGACCTCTCCGCCTTGAGGCCCGCCCACCAACGGGACGCATATATGCGACCTCTCCGCCTTGAGGCCCGCCCACCAATGGGACGCATATATACGACCTCTCCGCCTTGAGGCCCGCCCACCAACGGGACGCATATATATACGACCTCTCCGCCTTGAGGCCCGCCCACCAACGGGACGCATATATACGACCTCTCCGCCTTGAGGCCCGCCCTCCAGCGGGACGCATATATGCGACCTTGAGGCCCGCCCACCAACGGGACGCATATATACGACCTCTCCGCCTTGAGGCCCGCCCACCAACGGGACGCATATATACGACCTCTCCGCCTTGAGGCCCCGCCCACCAACGGGACGCATATATACGACCTCTCCGCCTTGAGGCCCGCCCACCAACGGGACGCATATATGCGACCTCTCCGCCTTGAGGCCGCCCACCAACGGGACGCATATATACGACCTCTCCGCTTGAGGCCCGCCCACCAACGGGACGCATATATACGACCTCTCCGCTTGAGGCCCGCCCACCAACGGGATACATATATACGACCTCTCCGCCTTGAGGCCCGCCCACCAACGGGACGCATATATACGACCTCTCCGCTTGAGGCCCGCCCACCAACGGGACGCATATATACGACCTCTCCGCCTTGAGGCCCGCCCACCAACGGGACGCATATATACGACCTCTCCGCCTTGAGGCCCGCCCACCAACGGGACGCATATATGCGACCTCTCTGCCTTGAGGCCCGCCCACCAACGGGATGCATATATACGACCTCTCCGCCTTGAGGCCCGCCCACCAACGGGACGCATATATACGACCTCTCCGCCTTGAGGCCCGCCCACCAACGGGACGCATATATACGACCTCTCCGCCTTGAGGCCCGCCCACCAACGGACGCATATATACGACCTCTCCGCCTTGAGGCCCGCCCACCAACGGGATGCATATATACGACCTCTCCGCCTTGAGGCCCGCCCACCAACGGGACGCATATATACGACCTCTCCGCCTTGAGGCCCGCCCACCAACGGGACGCATATATACGACCTCTCCGCCTTGAGGCCCGCCCACCAACGGGACGCATATATACGACCTCTCCGCCTTGAGGCCCGCCCACCAACGGGACGCATATATACGACCTCTCCGCCTTGAGGCCCGCCCACCAACGGGACGCATATATGCGACCTCTCCGCCTTGAGGCCCGCCCACCAACGGGACGCATATATGCGACCTCTCCGCCTTGAGGCCCGCCCACCAACGGGACGCATATATACGACCTCTCCGCCTTGAGGCCCGCCCACCAACGGGACGCATATATACGACCTCTCCGCCTTGAGGCCCGCCCACCAACGGGACGCATATATACGACCTCTCCGCCTTGAGGCCCGCCCACCAACGGGACGCATATATACGACCTCTCCGCCTTGAGGCCCGCCCACCAACGGGATGCATATATACGACCTCTCCGCCTTGAGGCCCGCCCACCAACGGGACGCATATATGCGACCTCTCCGCCTTGAGGCCCGCCCACCAACGGGACGCATATATACGACCTCTCCGCCTTGAGGCCCGCCCACCAACGGGACGCATATATACGACCTCTCCGCCTTGAGGCCCGCCCACCAACGGGACGCATATATACGACCTCTCCGCCTTGAGGCCCGCCCACCAACGGGACGCATATATACGACCTCTCCGCCTTGAGGCCCGCCCACCAACGGGACGCATATATACGACCTCTCCGCCTTGAGGCCCGCCCACCAACGGGACGCATATATACGTGCGCCCGGCAGGAAGGAGTTCAAATCGTAATAATAACATTAAATGTAACAATGATATAAATAGTAATGTTAAAGATAAAAAACAATCCTGTAAATAATGTTCTATTTTTGTTATAATATTTAAATTCTTTATATTATTGTTATTGTTATATTTCAATTATTATTATAACAGTAATACAAATATGTAAATTAAAATAATACCATAAATTAAATAATAATAATAATGCAAATAATTTAACAATAATAATATAAATAATAATAACATTTAAATATAAAAAATTATAAAATTTATAAAAAATTATATAAATATTAATGTTAAAAATAATAATAAAACACAATCATGTAAATAATATATAATTTTTTCCAGTATTAATATTGTGTGTTTTGTTATTATTGTTCTTTTTAAATTTCAATAATAAAAATATGATGAAAATACCATAAATAATAATAATATAACAGTAATAATTTGAATATAATATAAATCCCCCCCCTCCCCCCCTCCCCCCCCTCGCTGTGCAGATCACATTATTAATGAATGGACCGCGTCATCTGCTGATATTATTCTCCATTTTCTCGCTCAGCCACAAAGGATCCGACTTTGCTGACCTGCTGGAGACGTATTAATAATTCACATCGATCTCCTGTAGGCTGCCATCCCCGAACGTTCGCTGAGAGGTGTGTGACCATCGCTGATAGAAACGCTGGACTCCACCCAAAACCCGGAGCGCCGACGCTGAGTGCGAGAGAACGACCGCCGCCGCCCCGGGGAGAGGATATCTGATCTGCATTGTATCTGCTGACTGCAAATCCCAAAATATCTACAAGAAACAAAGTGACCCCAATCACTAGTTACAATGTGCAGTCTGATCGCTGGGGGAGGGGAGACTTAGGAAATGCCTCCTCCTTCTACAAAGTTACAATGTACAATCTGATCACTGGGGGAGGGGAGACTGAGGAAATGCCTCCTCCTCCTTCTACAAAGTTACAATGTACAGTCTGATCACTGGGGGAGGGGAGACAGAGGAAATGCTTCCTCCCCCTTCTACAAAGTTACAATGTACTGTCTGATCGCTGGGGGAGGAGACTGAGGAAATGCCTCCTCCTTCTACAAAGTTACAATGTACAGTCTGATCACTGGGGGAGGGGAGACTGAGGAAATGCCTCCTCCTTCTACAAAGTTACAATGTACAGTCTGATC